TATTATCACTGTTGGAATATTTTTGTTGACGACTTGGTCAGGGCGGTTCACAATATCTTTGTTGAAGGCACTGTTAAGCCCTAAGTTTGAATTCCAATTTCATTGCCCTTATTCCGAAAGTATAAAGTCCTTTTATGATTCAGAAAAAAATTCCATGGTCCTTGTAAAATAAGCTGAAGTCATACCCTATAAAAGTAGTTTCTAGTATCTTCGGTCCATAATTCAAGGAGATGGAGAACTTGATGATAATGTCATAAATAGTATTGGAGCGGGATGGATAAAATGAAGCTTTGCATTCGAGACTGTGCGATAAGAATGTATCATCTAGGCTTAAAGGTAAATTCTTTAAAGTGGTAGTCAGACCGACTTTGTTGTATGTGGCACAGTGTTGGTAAGAATGCCCACATTTAAAAGATGAATTTAGTGGAGATGAAGATTACACTTAAATGAACAAGGAGTCGTATCATTAAAAACAAAGCTATATAGGGGAAGGCGCCTTGGCAAACAAGATGAGGAAATCAAGACTAAGATAGTTTGGGTATGTAAAGTGGAGGTGTGTGGATGTATCAATAGAAGGTGTGAGAAGTTTGACCGTAACAGGAGTCGGGAGAGGTAGAGGTAGAGATAGGTCGAAAAAGAACTAGGGAGGGTTGATTATACAAAATATGACACAACTTCAATTTACTGAGGGCATAAGACTAAATAAGAAGATGTAGAGGTGAAAGATTAGATTAGAAGGTTAGTAGATAGCAAAGAGGGTGTTTGGATTGACTTAAAAGTTGGTCAAATCTATTTTTAAGTCAGTTTTTTACTTCTTGAGTGTTTGACAAATATTATTATTTGTTGATTCATTTGATTTGTATCTTGTTGTTTATCTATCATATTTTCTTGGTACAAGTCTTCAATTTTACTTCTTTTTTCTGCCAAACGGAGGATCTATCGGAAACAAAAGGCAAGATCAAATAATTTGATCCAAATTGATATGTAGTGGTTTGTGATAAACAATCCCCCACCGAATTCCTCATTCTCTCTCCAATAAATTAAAAAAAAAAAGTTTGGTATATAAACTCATTGCTTTTGGTGGTGTAGAAGAAGATGAAATCTTAGTTACCTTAGTTTTTTACCATTGACATGTGAAGCAAGAACAGTTACACCATCTTCTGTAACCTTAAGTAGTCCCTGCACATCATACACATTAATTAATTGTTGGTATTAGATAAAACTTGTTAATTAATTAATCATGTGTAGACAAGTGGATGATTTACCTCTTGAGCATCACAAACTAGAATATGACCAGCAGATGACACTTTAAGTCCCAATAATGTATCTCTCCCAATATATTTCCAGCTCTGCCAAGTCCCATTTGTGTGCCTTCTTTTAATCCAACCATCTCTAGTGGCTGTATACACAATTCCCATTTTATCCACTGCAACATCTTCTGGTCTATCTACAAATCCTTCTCCAAGTTTACTTACTCTCTGAAATTAACAAACATGAATATTTAACGTGGTTCATTCAATTGACTTAATCCATAAATATACATATAAGAAATTGATAGTATAATACTTGTGTCTCGTAAATTATTTTTCTAAACAAAACTCTCAAAGCCTTTAATTTCTTAAGGTTACCTGCAAATAACTGTTTGATGTAAAGGTTGGAGAGGGAGAAGGAATTTCAAGAATCTGAGGAGATATTGGTGAGAATAAAACAAGTTTGAGTAAAATAGCCAGCAAAATAACCATTAAAAAGCTACAAAAATACAGCATCGAATCCATAAGGAAGATAAAATGTTTGCAGATGAGATATGTTATACAGAAGAAATTCTTTGGTCCAAAATTTATACTATATCCCTGTCAAAATAATTGTCATATTTATCTCAAAATTTTACAAGTTTTCAGATAAATATTTTTTAAAATATTAATTGTTCTTCAAAATTATAACATCTTAATTATGACACATTAATAAATATATCATACTATTTTTAATCTTTTGTTACATAAAACAATCAAATATACCTCTTAATTAATACAATTTTTTAATGTGTAAATTAAACAAAACACACGAAGAATATTTTGACACGGAGGGAGTATAACCAAGCCATACCAAATATGGGTAGAATTTGTGGCTGAAAACAATTACGCAATAACTCTAATAATAGCATTAAATGACACCAATTTAAAACGGGAAGACCATACCGCTATGGATAATTAATATGGTAATTAATAGGGAAAATTACCTAAATAGGCCATAAAATTCAAAAATAATTAGAAATTCATAAATCATATCCAAATAAAAAATAATTTCTGAAATACTCATTCTCTCATAAATAATTACAGTTCATACCCCCATTCATTAAGGGTGATAATTTTGGCTTAACTGATACTAAATCAGTATCAAATATTGTATTGGTATCATTAAGGTTTCTTGTTCAGAATTTACTTATTAGTCAATGATATTATAAGAGTATATATCTATGTTGTTCTGGTATCATTAAGGTTTTTTATTAAGAAATTATACATTATTCAATGATACTATATATATATATATATATATATATATATATATATATATATATATATATATTGATTTAGTATCAATTCAACGAAATTATCAGCTTTAATGATACAAATACAGTATATATATATATACTGATTTAGTATCAATTCAGCGAAATTATCAGCATTAATGATACCAATACAATATATGATATTGATTTAGTATCAGTAAAGAGAAATTAATAAGGGGGAATATAGTGTAATTATTTAGTGGGGTGTGAATGTAAAGGGATATATATTTGTAATTATTTTGCTTTTATAGGGTATTTGCTTATTTTCCTCTAATTAGTATGGGTATCCACTCATATTTACCCACTGAAAATGGGTTGGATATCCAACTCATTTAAAAATGGGTAAAAATGAATAATACCCAGATTACTCATTTCAAAGTGGGTAGTTAAATGGATAAAATGGGTAAAAGATGTTCTTTTACACAAAAAAAAAGAGTAATAAAGGGTGGAGTAGTAAGTAAGTCTTTTTCTTAAAAAAAAAAACTTTTTTTTACATTTTTATTTGGGATGGGAGGTGGGGGTGGGGGCTGGTGGGGGGTAGGGGGTGGGGAGGTAAATTTTCTCTGGCAAGAAAATATGACTCGAAGAACATAAAGGGATACGATAGAGTTATCATTGTTCTTAGTTGGTAGGGTTTATATTTCTATAATCATTCATGTAAGATCTATTCCTAAGCTATAAAGGAATTAGATCAGTGTCAAGTTCTTGATTGTCATTTCAAAGGTTAGCTAGAGTTAGTTGTATTGAGATCGTAAAGCCTATATTGCTAGAGTTAATTGGTGTAGTGAGAAACGCAGTTGTTGCTTAGTTCATGTTGGGTAACAGAGTTGTTACAGTGAGGGGAAAGGGATTAATAGGTTAAATCCTAGATTAGTGGAGTCTTTAAGCTGAATCTGTGCTCCTTTTTGAATGAAATGGAGCTGAGTTGAAAATCATGTGAGAACAAGTCATGGTTTCTCCTCCCTTGAGAAGGGGGGTTCCATGTAAAAATCTTTGTGTCTAATTTACTTTGTGTTATTTATTTTTTGCATTATTAGTATGTCAAGGGACCTGATCTATTGATCGATACTGGACACATATATTTTATGAATAGCTATTTACTTCTGAGATCATAAACTTTAATATTTATTAGATCATACAATGTGCTACTTTAATAATAGTATATCTAGGTTTAATATATTAATATGCATGTGAGACCACAAAATAAAGTTTACCAACAATTAGAACATCTTTCTAAATAATCATTATGCAAACTAGTAACCATGTTTCTGAAAATGAAATATCTCAAATTTAAGGCAGCTTATAGTAGTTGACCGTAAACAGTTGCAGATATCCCGCAAAGCATTGACGCTTTGCTTGTCATCCTCTTGGTAGGATTTAACTATTTCAAGGCGTTTTATCCAACAAATTGCAATAAAATATGTCTATATGTGCACGTCTTTGAGGGAAAATTGTCCGGCCTGCTGATTAACAGTAATCTTTAATCATTTATATTTGAACATTGCCTGCTGGTACGTAACTTAGTGGTTCCTTATATCACGTTTAACACAATTTTAAAATAATATTTTGATATATGTCCCTTGATTTGATATCAGCATGATCATTGGAAATATCATATTAGAAAAGGATACTTTGATTCAATGAATTTTAAACATGATATACATTGATTACTCTAAGAATTTTTTTTGTAAAAACTACATAAATTTCAGTGTTGAAGAGTTAATTACATCTTATTCCTATTCTTTTTTCAAATTACAAAAATCTCGAATCTCGGATACATCAGGAAACTTGCAGATACATAGCTTACGGATTGTGAATGATACATTACTTAATGAGAGGGATGTATCCGAGAGAGGATATGGATGTATCCGAGAAAGAATTTTTGTAATTTTTTAAATGATAGGAAATTTTAGAGTTTACGGTAAAATAAAATATGTATTTATGTAATTTTTCCAAATTTGGTACACTATTATATTAATGAATTTTAACCTGAGATAGTAATTAATTATTGATCGTATTAAGACTTTATATCATTGTGTAGAACGTAATTAATCTCAAATCAGAGGCACGTTAATCTTCCGTAATTGTTGGCGTGATCAATGGATGTGGCATCACTATAATGCTTAGTTGTTATTTGATATTATTGTTAATGTTACTTTATGAAAGAGTTTAAATTTTATACCTCACGAAGGTAAAGAATATATATAAGTAAGCCTTATTAAAATATGAAATTGAAAATTTTAAAATAAGATAAGTGACAGGTGTAAAAATTATTTAAACGGTATGTATATATTACCTTAAAAACTCCAAAAGGAAATACAACATATACAAAGTTGATATCTGCCTTGTCTTCACTAACACTGATATCTAGCAAATACACTCAATGAAAAAATAAAGAATTTTGAGTATTATGAGGTAAAAAAAATAAAAAAATGTGGATGTATACAATTGTTTAAGCTCTATGGAAATCATTGTGCAATGGTGAATTTGGAGTTAATTTCTTATGTGGACTTTTTGTATGATGATGAGAATTAGTATTTCTTTTGTTGACTAATTCCTTTTGAGGACTTTGTTTGTGTTGATCAACTGGAGCTATATACACAAATGTCATGGTTGAAATATCCTTATAATCCTTCAATGTTTCAAGTGTTTTGACAACTGTACTCATATCTGGTCTAGCTTTTGGCCTATGGCTTAAGCATTGGTAAGCTACTAATGCTGCTTTTTGAACCCCTTCTTCTGAATATAAACCTTCTAATCTTGGATCAATTATTCTACCTAGTTTACGCGCATCTTTCAATTGAGGTCTTGCCCAATCTGCTAAATTTTGTTCTCTGTTTGGACGACTTTTATCTACCGATCTTCTCCCAGTTAGAAGCTCCAGTAATACTACTCCGAAACTGTATACATCACTTGCTGCTGTCAAATGACCTGTGCAAATTAAATTTGAAAACATTAGTCACAAAAGTTTATAACTAATTTCAATTTTGTTGATAAATGAAATATTACCGGTCATGAGGTATTCAGGAGCAGCGTAGCCTTGCGTTCCCATGACTCGGGTGGAGACGTGTGTGTCATCTCCTTCTGGCCCATCTTTTGCAAGTCCAAAATCTGACAGTTTAGCATTGTAATCCTGGACCACATTAATAAAGAATTATGATATTTTCTAAAGTGACATGCACAAAGTTTGGTATATATGTCAAAGTCAATGATAATTTGCACATTAATAAAACTAAAATTATTAATAATGCATATAAAAGTGAATGAAGAAAAAACTTACGGAGTCTAACAAGATGTTTGAAGCCTTGAAATCACGATATATGACTGGTTTTTCAGCTTCATGGAGGAAAGCTAAGCCTTTTGCAGCTCCAAGTGCTATTTTCATCCGTGTCGACCATGGAAGTGATACAGAATATCCTACATTTATATATTTAATTCAACAAATATTATTTTGTGAACAAGTTGTACTATATATTTTTATATCCAATAAAAATAATAATGATTTGAAGTGAGATAATTCTACGTATAGAATAATTCACAATTGCTTCTCCACCAAACTTGAATTGACTGATTCTATATATTTCATAAGAGGAGTACTTGGTAAAAGTGAAAAAGCTAAGGTCAATGGTCACAGATTTACACATTTTCTTTAATATTGGACAAGTGGTAATTTTGTGTGGGATACAGCTACTGATTGTAAACATGAAAGAAAGCATATTGAAAATCTATCGATCCAAAAGCAAAAATGACATAAATATAATAGTATTCGACTTGATAATGTTTTTGCCTAAAGATTTTTAATTTTTAGTCTCTTTAACAATAAATAGATATGGAAAATTACAATATCTATACATAATTTAAATATATATATATATACTTTTATTTTAACTTGATAGTTGTTTGCTTTTTATATATTGAAACTGTTAGTGGAATTGTAAAAAGAAGAAAGAAGAAAGAAGGTAACATACTTCGAAAAAGTTGATTCTCCAAGCTGCCTCTGGGCATATATTCATAGGCCAACAGCCTGTGTTCCTCTTCACAACAATATCCAATCAACTTCACCAGATGTGGATGTCTCAATTGCCCCAAAAATATCACTTCTGTCTGCTCACAATAATTAATAATAATTAATTAACAAATGCCTAATTATAATTTAGAGATAAATATTAAGTAGAGATGTGTGTTACCAGCCATTCTCGATGACCTTGAGTGCCATCTAAATCTAAAAGCTTTACAGCAACAGGTTGAGCTTTTAGACCAGGTCTAAGTTTATCATCAATAAAACCTTTATGAACTGGTCCAAAACCTCCCTCCCCTAGAAAATTACTCGACGAAAAATTCTGAGTAATCACTTTCAATTCTTGAACACTGAAAATATGAAGATTTGAACCAGCTAATGATATTGATAAATCTTCTGAACCACTGAAATCTGAAACTGAAATCCGATGAAATGAACTTTGTTTTGTTACTAATTTTGATTGCTTTGGCTTTGGCTTTGGATTTTCCGATATACAACAGCTAGGTACTAGAGATTCCCATGTAATCTTCATCGCTAGCTTTAATTGAAATAAAATGAATAAATTCTCTTAATTGCCTTGAAGAGAATTGTGTGTTTATATATATAGAAAAATGATTGATGAGCAAGAAAGGAATAGAGGGTAATAATAATATTCAAATATGTCGTACCCAACTGCTCTCTATACCAGATACAAAGGAAGAGCTTCCCAACACCTTTATTTATATATATATAAATTACTCCCTCCGTCTCATTATATGTGAGTTACTTTGACTCGGTATGAAATTTAAGAAATAAATAAAGATTTTTAAAATTTGTGGTCCAAAATGAATGACAGAAATTTGTGTGACTATAAATTATTTCATTAAAGATAAAATAGACATTTTATAGCTAAATTTATTATTTAATATAAAATATGTTATTCTTTTTGGAACAAATTAAAAAGGAGGGTAAGTGACATAATTAGAAACAGAGGGATACTAATAAATACCATGACCTCATGTACTAACGTGTTTTATTTCCCTTTGTATTATGTTGTATATTTACTTTGTATTTTTTTTCCTGAGTTATATTATAAGTCAACTGTATTTGTGGTGAATACTTGTTCCTTTTCCCACGTTATAAGCGCGTGTTTAATTGTATGTGCACTTCCACTAACATTCTTCTTTATAAAAATAAAAACGTTAAAAAAAATTAATTACCCTGATTTAAAGGTGAATTATATAGGTGTTAAATTTTACAAACATAATATCCTGGTAGATAGTTGATTTGGAGGTAAATTCATGTATAAAAAAATTAATATTGTGTTTGGTTTATTTGTATAAGTAATGAGGAAATTTGTAAACTTTGATATATGATGTAGAAGATGAAATAACTAATACATGAATAACTAATGTCAGTTATATAAAATAATACATAAATTTCTTCATAATTAATCATTAGGCTACATATCTTCATAACTCTAACTAACTATCAATGCGTAAATATTTTTATATTGTAAAGTCAGTTAAAATTTTATCATAGCGGTTACTTTATGTAAGAACATGTTTATTAATTAATTTATAAAGAATTTGATTTTTATATATAGATAGTGTAATGAATTGTTATACTATTTAGTGTAACTTAACCTGACATTTGTCATTTCCTATAGTTTACCAACCAATTGTATCAAATATGTATAATTAATTACGTGCAATTATTTTTTAAGTTACACAATTATATAAATATTTATTTAAATTAATAGCTCGTTGAAATTAATAAAAGTAAAATAATAACATTTTTTTACTGTAAGTATATAAATATAGTATAAGGCAATGCAGAGTAAAAAAAATAAAATTATACAAGTACAAATTAGATCTACTAGGATCGGAGATGTAGCAGTAGAAGGCATACATTTTTGTTGAAAAAAAATAATACTTGACTTGGCTGCTGGGTGCTGGCCTGCCCCCTATGTTGACTTGGTTTCTATGTGCATGATTTTGGAAATTTTTGGAGGCAAGCTGTTTCCAACGGAATTAATTTCAATTGCTTGACCATATCTATTTCTATAATAATAAAAATAACGATTCAGTCTAAAGATATTGTGATTGATCTTATAATATAGAGATATATTGGATCTTTATGTTAATTTAATTTGAAAAGAAATTCAGAGTTATACTTTTGAAATTTTGCCATTGAAAAATCGTAATTGCAACAAGGACTTGGGCCACAGGTTCTCGTAAGATTGAGGTCACAATTTGATACATCACTAGCCCTTTATACTAGGTCAGTTACACTTTCGCCCCTAAAGTATTTTCACGTTATAAAGCCTCGCAAGCACATCTTTGTTACATATTATTTCATAATGTATCGTATTATATTGTATTATATTATATTGTTTTAGTGAATACATTGTATTATTTTATGTCGTTGCATAATGTCACACATCCATAATTTGAATGATAAACCTACCAGAAAAGTAGGGTACGAGGTAGAATTACTATGAAAAGGTAGGATAAAAGATGAAATATGATTATTAAATAAAAAATAAAGACAAAATTAGAAGAAAATTAAGGTAACGACACATTCACACCAGATCAGTCATTACATAAAATGAGTCTTTTCATCGTTACATAACGATGAATTTAAACGATATGATACAACAAAATTTAAGTAACAATCAAAACAAACATTGTATTAAAGATGGATCTAGGATTTGGAGGGTTTCAAGTGTCACCTATCCGAATTGGATAAACTAAGCAAATACTCCACAAAAGCAAAATAATTACAAACTACTCTTTTACATTCATACCCCACTAAATAATAACAATATATACTCCCAACTAATTTCGCTTAATTGATACTAAATCAGTGTCATATATTGTATTGGTATCATTAATGCTGATAATTTTGCTTAACTGATACTAAATCAGTATATATATATATATATATATATACTGATTTAGTATCAGTTAAGCAAAATTATCAGCCTTAGCCTTAATACAAATATTAATTTAATATTAGTAGGTGTGATTATTTAAATTTTATGACTGTAGTTTTTCCTTTTAGGCTAGTGCAAATTTTCGTGAGACTGCGTTATGTTCTCCCATACGCGGGCTCTTTGATTATTTTTTACCAAGTGTATCAAAGACATGGACACCACTAGCTACAATTCAAACAAATCAAATCAACGTTGAAAAAATAAAAAAAGACAAGTATGAATCAAAATAAATTGTAGCCACATAGAGAAAGATTTATATTTGACCCTATGTTCTCCCTTGTTTATCACGATTGCTTATTGTATGTAAATTATTTTGACCCCATTTTCTCCCTTGTTTATCATGTATTGCTTATTGTAAGTAAATTTCAAAGTCCTTTCTTCATTATATTTGGATTTAACACATTTGTTGAATCTTATGATCTTAAATTAAAAATATGTTAAAATAAATTAAAATATTTTTGAATCTTATGGTCTTTAACATGTCACGTGGAAAGTTAAAATTGAAATGTTACGAAAAAAAAACTTACTTTTTCTAGCGGACTAAAAAAAGTATAACAAACAAATTAGAATAGAGAGAATACTTCTTTTCTTGATTAACGAAATAATCCAACTCCTAACTTTATTAAAATATAATTAAATGTGTGCTTTAAAGCCTAAGTAAGTTCATATACATATTTAGGAAATATTAATCAACTATAGCAATAGCATTTTTATTTTTTCACTGGACACTTATAATATAACTTATACATATTATAGAGAACAATTTATAAAACACACATAATACAAGTTTTATTCACGAAAAATATATTTACCACACACTTTAATACACTTATAATACATTGTGTCAATTTCTTACCAAACAAGCATAATACTACCTCCGTCCACTTTTAGTTGTCATAGTTTCTTTTTTTAGAGTCAAACTATAAAAACTTTTACTAACATTTTACGACGTATTTTTTCAAAAAGGGCTCATCATAGACCTTTTAGAGTGACTTTGATGGTTATGATGAGCTTTCTTTCTCCTATTTCCAAGATCGAATTCCAAGGGCGAGAAGGAAGTTAATGGAAAGGTAACTCACATATCTTTCCGGGCCTAATTCTTTAATTATCACTTCAACTCTTTCATACTTCTGACGATCATATTGATATGCAAAAAATGTAATTTATAGTACTTTTTGTATAGTTTCTAATATCTTTTTTTTTGTTATAAATATCGAATTAATGTAATCTAATTTAAATTTGAAAATTAATAAAATTGACTTTCAAAAAGCATAACATGACAAATAAAAGTGAACGCAGAGAATATATTTTTAAACACTTATAATACATTTGTATATCGCATGCATAATTCACTTTGAATAGATATACATTTTATCATGGGTATATATAACTCGATGTCATGATCACAAAAGCCATCTTGGCCCAATCTGGAGTGTACCACAATTGCGATGATTTATTTTTCTGCAATTGCTAGTGACACCTTATGTGAAAGGGAATAGTAACGAGATCAGATTTGAATATATATGTTTTTATCTTGGGAAAGTATATATGTTAAAAGAAGGACAAAAGTCCACATTAATGATTAGTGAGTGTGAAATTCTTTTCCCTTGAGATAACTTTTGAGGTGTGAGTTAGGCCTAAAACTTAATTTAACATAAAAATTTGGAGTAGCAAATCAATAGAGGGTCTCGAACTAAATCCTTTGGCATCCATTCCTTAACCCTTAGTGATTGTACTAGTTTTAAGAGTTTTGGCCTAATTTTCAAATTGGGCAATATTGGGATTTAACTTCGCAATCGATATTAAAATTAAATCTTGATTATTGATTGGCACTCTATAGCTTATGGGTAACACAATCATGCAATCAATTTTGAATTCCGGATTGTTGATCTAATAGGCAAATGGCAATACCTTCAAATTATGAGATTAAATTTTTTTTGTCCATTATTTACGTTTTTGAATAGTATTGGAGGTCGTTTTGAAGGGATTTTGTCATTTCAAGAGACGTTTTCATATCGATTTTAAGGCAAATAAGATTTTAACCTCTTGAATACCTATTTATTATTAACGTCATGATTTGGTACATGCATTATTTTAAATTTCAAATACCTAGTGCTTTGTGACTTGTGAGACAAGCACGTACTAAGACATATGCTATTTAGAGTTATCACACTATTTTTTTTATCAGGTTGGACTTTATTGATACTCGTAACTTGAATAGAATTGTTTTACAAAATGGGGCATGGCATCCTGTAAGGTTTTGGTGGGTTGTGGGTCGACTATGTGGACCAATCCGATCCGTTTTATTTAATTTATTAAGATAAGAATTAAATGAATGGATAATATTAGTTTTTTGAAGAGAAGAGAGAGCAGTTTGAAAGTTGTAACTATTCAAGCTCTCCTTTTAAAAGGAGACGTCTTCTTTTCAGAATGTGGACGGCAATAACAAGAAAACGTGAGAATAGAGGAAAATGTGCAAATGTGTAAACGTTCAAAAGAAAAGAAAAAACACGGAAAACCAAAAAGTTATCCTTTTGCCAATATTCAATCGACGCAATTAAAGACACTTAAGTTTTGAACAAGAACGATCTTTGTTTCCTAGTGATTTTGAAGCAATTCGTTTTGACAGCGAAATCAACATCCACACAATTTCCATTGCAAGTATTAAGATACTCATCATGTTGTTGTTTTTC